CTGGAGCGGCTGAGCTACCTCAGCCTTCGATAAAACCCACCTCATAAAGCTTTAATATTAATGCAGGACTTATGCATGCCAATCAACAACAAAGCTCTTTGTCAACGCGGTACGCCAGCACCGACACGAGATAGAAATGCTGTACAAGTTAGAGACTTGATGCGAGAACAGCAGTTTGGTGCAAATCAGCTGGAACGATTTGTGCAAACGCAAAAAGAGTTTTTAGATGCTGTTCAGAAAAAAAGCTTGTGACAAAATCATGAAACGGGTAACCAAAGGAGGTGGCGGAGTTATCTTCCTAGATGCTGCAGGAGGTACCGAGAAAACTTTCCTCATCAATTTAATATTGGCGACAGTTCGAATGCGAAATGGGATTGCAGTAGCAATAGCATCATCGGGGATTGCATCAACACTACTTGATGGCGGACGTACAGCGCATTCAGCACTTAAGCTTTCATTGAATTTGAACCAGACCGAAACACCTACATGCAACATCAGCAAAAGCTTTGGTATGGCCATAGTCCTTAAAACGTGCAAAATTATAATTTGGGACGAATGCACCATGGCACATAAGAAATCGCTCGAAGCACTTGACCGAACTCTTCAAGATTTTCGTGGAAACGACCAACCGAGAGGAGGCGCTCTTGAACTCCTTGTAGGTGATTTTCGTCAAAGATTACCCGTTATACCACGATCAACGCCTGCAGACGAGCTGAACGCGTGGTTAAAGGCATCGCGTTTGTGGAACTATGTCGAAAAAATTACGCTCACAATAAATATGCGAGAGAATTTGCTGCAAGATACGTCTGCCCAAATATTTTCAAAGTAACTTTTTGATATCAGTAACGGTGAAGTTCCTATTGATCGCACAACAAATGAGATATCATTTCCTTCCAACTTTTGTCAAATGCAGCAGAGCATTCAAGACGTCATCGACTGAGTATTTCCGAACTTAGCGATCAACTACCGAAATACGGAAAGGTTCTGCGAACGTGGAATTTTAGCTCCGAAGAACGATAATGTTAGTAAATTAAACGGACAAATGGACAAAGATCAAGCTGTTAATTACCGAACTGAATTTCTTAATTCTTTGGAGCCACCAGTGATACTTATTCGGAACTTGATCGCGCCAAAGCTGTGCAACGAAATCAGAGTGATAATAAAAAAATTACCACAGAATTTGATCGAGGAACAATCATCTGCGGTAAATTCGAAGGCGGAGATGTAGTGATTCCACGTAAACCGATGATTTCCAACGACTTGCCGTTCGAATTCAAGCGGCTTTAATTCCCTTTGTGTATTGCCCTTTGCAATAACTATAAATAAAGCACAAGGGCAATCATTAACTATCGCGGGTTTGGATTTGAAAAATTCGAGCTTTTCACATGGCCAATTATACGTCGGCCGTTCACGAGTTGGGACACCACAAAATTTATATATTTACACAACAAATGAAACAACTAAAAATATTGTTTATACCATAGTATTGAAGTAAATAAAAAGGTATTCAATGTCAAAACTCTAAATACTTGTGTTTTTCATTGGCGTAGCAACGCGCGCCGGGTATTGCTAGTTTTTTAATATTATTTGTTATTAAAATATAAATATGTCGGCCGCTGTGGTGTAGTGGCAAGCAGTGCGCGCTTTCATTCATCAGCACCTGGGTTCAACCCCTGGTCAAAGCAATATCGCAAAAAAAATTGAAAAAGGTTTTTTCTTAACAGCGGTCGTCCCTCGGCAGGCAATGGCAAACCTCCGAGTGTATTTCTGCCATGAAAAACAGCTTCTCATTAAAATACAATCGCCGTTCGGAGTCGGCGTAAAACTGTAGGTCCCTCCGCTTTGTGTGACAACATCAAGGCGCACGCCACAAGTCGGAGGAGAGGCTCGGCCAAACACTAACATATGTGTAAGCGCCAATCTATTATTATTATTATTATTAAAATATACAGTTTTTTAATAATTAAAAATATAAATACATATGCTATATACAATCATACTATACATCCTGTGCCAAAATTATAAGCGTACCACATATTGACAAGTTTTAACAATTTATTTATTTAAGTTATTTTTGTATAAAAAATATAGTTTATTTTTGGACAAAAACCGTATAAATCAAACACAATAAACACATGTTTTCTTTTTTTTTAATATAATCTACGATTTCAGCAGCTTCCTTCCTGCAAAGGTTTCTGGACATGCTTTTAAAAATATTTATAATTATTCACCTCTTTTATTAAAAAAAATATACACACGTTAACGGCTCAAGAATTGACTTAAAACTGTTCTTATAAACTTCACTTTTGCAAATGTCGCTGCAAGTTATTTTTAAGTCCCGTTAGACGAATGCTCAAAAACGCTCCCATAAATGAACATTAACGCTCATTGATCTAAAAGCCCTCAGAAAAAGGCGCATATTTTGAAGATTACAAAAAAACAATCCCAACAAGCTCAAAATTAAGACTGTGTTCGGATCCTTATTTCGGAATGCTCTCTGTTTGGCTAGCCGGGGCGCATAAAATAGTGTAAGTGCATACGTGTGAATATTCTTTAATGACTAATATCCACTAACACTATTTCTTGTGTTATTCAACCAATTATGTACTTTAAAACACGAATAATTGCAGTTCCCTGGTGCGCGCCATGTATTTTTTGCAATATGTGTAGATCCAAAATGTTCCCTTCTTCTTTTTTATTAATTGTAAACGTGTAATTTTAATGAAAAAATAATTATAAGTAACAGATAGCAAATTTTATTACAATTCATTTGCAAAGTCTGTTTTGATCTGTGAACGCTGTTTCTAGTTAGAAGTCGTTTTTTTTTTTAAGTACTTGTTAATAATAAGTATCCGTACTAAACAATTTTCGAATAAACACGAGTTTCTCATTTACAATTCCAAATAACGCTTTCGTATTTTAGTTTAACACTTTCCCATTTACAATTGAGTATTCTCAATTCCAAATGACATTTTCGCATTTAAAATTGACTATTCTCATTTCTAAATGACGCTTTCGCATTTTCAAATGACTAATCTCATTTCCAATTGACAAATTTCATTTCTAAATGACGCTTTCGCATTTTCATTGGACGCTTTCTTATTTAAAATTGACTATTCTTACTTCCAAATGACGCTTTCGCATTTATAATTGACTACTCTCATTTTAAAATGCCGCTTACGCATTTTCATTTGACGCTTTCTCCTTTCCAACTGGAAATGGTGTAGTAAGCATCGGAATGGTTCGTTTTTGGCGATAAAGATCTAGTACGGAACTGGAAATTTGACTCACTAGCTCGCGGTTTCAACGCAGGGAACTTTTGTGTCAAGAGAATACACGATTGCGCATTCCTGCCGACGATAACACTTTTCAAGTAAAAGTAAACAAAGCCGAATGGGAGGATAAAAGAAACTGCGAAATAGTAAATTTTCTTAATATTCAATTTTTCGATTGGAAAAATGGTTCAAAATTTAGTTTTTTTGTTCGAGTCCCTACGATTTGTACAAATAATCACCCATATAAGCAATTTATTTGTATATTGATACAGCATGTTCTTGGAGAGGTGAATTATAAATACCTTAAATAAGATCCCGATCCCGAGATTCATGAAGGGTTTAGTAAAATCGATGACGCTTTCACGAGCATAATTTATAGTCATCGAAGCGACTGCCAGGTCAGCCCGCTAGAAATTTGATAAGCAAACATATACGTATTTGCTGGGTTATTAACTCAACTGGTTAGATTAATATTGTTCTTAAAAGATGTGTTAAATTTTGTTTAGATTACTTATATTACAATGAGAACTTACCCGTTCCATAAGCTCTCGAACAATGCCGTTCCAAGTATTTGTATCTGGATTATAAACCCCATACATATTATCTGGGACCAATTCGATTTTGTATTGAAATCCAACTTGTTTAGCAATAGCCTTTAGTAAATCGATACAAAATCCTTCAAAACGAACATTGCCAGTTTTATTAACGCCATTTTTAACCATTACATAAGGTTTCTCTTCTCGCGTCATTACAACCAGAGTAGTATTGGCGGTATGAACATCATAGAAGGCAGTCGGATCAGTAATGTTAACTCCAACTTCTGGCTTCCAGAAACCAACTTTTTGAATCTTGTCACGCTTGAGTTTAAGTAAATCAATTTGAAATTTATTTCGACGGCCCTCAGCAAAGTTAACGCGTCCAGTCAAACCATTGATAGAAGCCTAAGAGATTAATAAAAAAAAACGGTTTGTTTTATTCTTAGGAAACTTCTAAAAATCGTATTAAATATGTGAAAGTACCCGGCTGGAAATTTTCTATCCAGTTGACTGGTCCCATTAAGTTTCTGAATAAATACCATCGATTCGATTTTTGACGGTAACTAATATGGACCTGATTGCTCTGGCGCTAGATATGTCAAATAAAAAACAACTTTACTGTTTATTTAACAATATTTGTAATTTTGGTCAGCAGTTGGCTGAGCCTATGAGTACCAAAACGAACACTAAATCTACTAACACAAAATAAGTATAACTTATACTACCCACAAGGTATCTGTTAATGGAACCGGCGAAGCTGCTGCACTAGCAGTTTTGGTTGCTTGCATTAGCACAGAGAACATAGGTACTTTCCCAGCAAAAAACATGATTTTCACAGAAATTAAGATGCAATCGAAATAGAAGATGGGAATCGCTTACCCTTTCGCTTCAAGAAAGCATTATGTTAACATGAGCATGTCATTGGCCGTAAGCCCTTACCCGCTGTATTACCTTCGAACGAAGGGAGAACGCATGGATAAACAAAATCCAGAGAAGCGAACAAAGAATGCCTTACAGAGAAACTATTGTAGAATGCCTAGATAAGTACATACTGATGTACATATATTAAATTTAAAACGGAAAATGAGACATTCTTTTTCATATCGGACACCAAATTTGGTGCCACACTTTCGATTGGGTTAAAATGTTTTTTATGGGTTCTAATATTGAAATAAGCTAACACGTGCTTTTTTTCTTTTTTTTCTTCGGATCTGTCAAAGCATGCATTTTTTCGTGATTCTGACTAATCATGTGCTTCTTGAAATCGTTATATCTCGGGTTCTGCTCATCGTAGAGACTTCGTCATTTTAAAGCTAAAGAAACGGGTTTAACATTTGTATATATGTATAAGATGGTCAAGATTGTCCCAAGTATAACTGAGCTATTTATGTTTAGAAAAAATGAGCGGTTTTCAAAAACAATTTTTAAAATATTTTTATTTATGACGAGATGGTTTATTTTGTGAGAATCAACAATTTTTTGTTTTCAAAAACTTATGTTGATATATATTTATTAAGGTGTCAAACATCGGGTTTTTGCAAAAAGTAAAATTTTATTGCGGATTCCGATAGAATACCTATCCAGATATAATATTTGTACGGCAAGATTTTTCTTTAAGGCGACAAGCTCCTAGAAATTGGCGTGGTAATTGCAGGACTAAAGTTAGCAAAACGCAGATTTTATTGCGGATTTCGACAGAATATCGCTTCGTTAACAACTTGTGTTCCACGCCTTTATTGAAGCGAATCGGAGACATGACATAATTTGTTTTACGAAATCCGTCCAACTGAAAAAAGCATGGCTCAAATACAGACTGTCTTAAAATATTAAAATTTTTATGAATCAGTTTTTATACAAACATACATATATACATATGTATTAAAGTACTTAGATTTTACTTAAAAATCGGTATGTACATTAGGCTGCCCATATAAAATGCTTTTTTGGAAATTTCAAGACTACTACTATTCGTTTCTATGAGTAATATTTTTATAGATGTTTTAAAGGTCAAGAGAAGAGGATATATAGGCCTTTAAAATGATATATAATAATCTATTGTCGGACTAGGCTTGTTGGGATTTTTTATTGGGTAAATTAAAAAAAGACCCATATTTCACTTAGTTTTTTTAATTTAGACCATCGATAATTTCTACAATTTCAGAATTTGGAATACTATCTAAAATAAAATCTATTTTCAAATAAACTGATACCTCATTTATTACAATCGCATTAACATTTTCGAAGTTAGGCGACTTTTCTTGAATACGGCCTTGAATTTATATGTGTGTATGTACCGGCCGCTGTGATGTAGTGGTAAGCAGTGCCTGGGTTCAAGCCCTGGTCAATGCAACATCGCAAAAAAAAATGTAGAAAAAAGGTTTTTTCTTAACAGCGGTCGCCCCTCGGCAGGCAATGGCAACCCTCCGAGTGTATTTCTGCCATGAAAAAAAGAGTTTCTCATAAAAATACAATCGCTGTAGGTCACTTCCCTCTGTGTGACAACATCAAGGCGCACGCCACAAATCGGAGGAGGAGCTCGGCCAAACACTAACATATGTGTAAGCGCCAATCTATTACTATTATGTACCGGAATTTCAGGTTTTTTGACCAATGTGGCTAAGGAATTCATCAATATTTATTAAAAGCATATACAATCGCTCTTAGCAAAAAAAAGTAGTGTTTCAGGAAATTTTAGGAAAATGGGGGTGGCACCGCCCAGTTATATCATATGTGTATCTCAAAAACTACTTGACTTATCTCAACCAAATTTCGTGAACGCATTGCACTTAGGCTTCTTAAGAGCCATATTGAAAATTTTTGAAATATGACTAAAACCGCGGGCTCCACCAACATAACGGTAATTTCAAAAAACTCAAAGCTTGCTGTATTTTAGGAGTAGTAGGTTTTTTCCGATTTCAAAAATGTTCAAGACAGTATTTAAGGAGGCTAAGCACAATGTTTGTACCAAATTTGGTCGAGTAGTTTTTGGGAAACACAAAAACCACCCCCATTTTCCTAAAATTTCTAGAAACCCCCGTTTTTTACTAAAGAGCGATTGTATGTATCAGTTTTGAATAAATATTAATGAACTCCTAAGCCACACTGCTCTAAAAATCTGAAATTCTGGTACATACACACATATAAATTCCAGGCCGTATTTAAGAAAAGTCGCCTAAATTCGACAATTTATATGCGGTTACAATATATAAGGTATCAGTTTATTTCAAAATATATTAGTTTTAGATATTACTCCATATTTTGGAAGTGTGGAAATTGTCGATGGTCAAATTTAAAAAAATTTAAAGAAATATGTTTTTTTTTTATTTACCCGATAAAAAATCCCATCAAGCCTAGTCCTATATATACGATAACAATTAGTACCGATTTTGGCGGGACAGTACCAATTTTGAGAAAATGTCGTTCGAATTGACAGAAACGCTCCTGCTCTGAAAATATTCAACGCGGGCCGCGATGCTGGTAACAGAGGAAGAGGAAGGCCTCCTCTGCGTTGGAAAGACCAGGTGTAGAAGGACTTGGCTTCACTCGGCATTTCCAATTGGCGTCAGTTATCACAGAAGAGAAATTACTGGCGTGCTGTTTTGAACTCGGCCAAAATCGCTTAGGCGGTTACAGCGCCAATAAAGAAGAAGACAAAGTCCCGCTGAATATTTTTTAAAAGACAGGACGTATAGTGCCCCGATTTTTCATATTTGTACCGATTTAGTCCCGATTTTCAGTGTTTTCTTTATTCATTTAACAAAACTCTCCCTAGACTCCAAAAACAATTTTTCGTGCAAACGTGGCAGAACTTTCGTTATCAGAAAGGGCATAGAATATAAGTGAGCCATAACATAGCCAGTATCCTTATTAATCCTAAACCGTCATCTTTCGTCAAAACGACTACGCACGATGTTATTTTCATTGTTACTAAGTTTTTATTGTTCTGTGAAATATTGATTTTAAGTTTAAAGAATATATGTTCCCTTTTTAATATCAATTTTTCATTGTTATTATTTCCTTATTAAAAAGAATAAAATCAATTATTCACATTATTTATGCTCACTATCCATTTAATTTGGATTTCAAATTAGTTGTCGTCAAAATGACGAAGGATGACGTTAATGTACAAAAAAACGATGACTGTCCAGGGTTAATAACTAGCAATTACCCGGCGTGCTTCGCTGCGCCTTAAATGTATTTTTGTGTTGTAACTCTCTCTCAAAACTCGTATGGCCTCATTTATAAAATATATTTAAAGACCTTTATGAGGTTAGATTTAAAAAACAAATTTCGATCTATGAAGAATTGTTTATTTTTTTCGAGTATGGGTGTTAGTTAATATCTATTCGAAGGTAATCAGAAAATATATAAAGTACCGACTATCTCTTGGAAATTTAATTTATACTCTTATAACTGGAGTCTACTATCGCACCCTTTCCTCAAACGTGTAGTAATTCAATAATCAAATACCGTATATTTACATAATTTGAAAAAAATTTGCCTACTATACAAATATGTACTGCAGTATCAACTAATATTTTCAAATTTTGTGAGAGTAACAAAACAAAAATACTTTTAAGGAGCAGCGAAGCATGCCGAGTATTTGCGAGTATTTAATAATTAAATTAAATTAAAATTTTCAAACAGGTGGCAACCTCCCAAAAAATATTTTTGCGTTTAAAAGCCATCTGGCTGTAAAAAAATTCTCATGCCCATACAATTTGTATGAAGCATACCGAAATAACGCGGCGTACACGCTTAGCGATTAGAAAATCCGATGTTGACAGGGCGTTAGGAAATGAAGTTGGCTGCAGAAAACGGCGAAACTGTAACTTTCGTAGTTCACACAAACAAACATATGCTTATTGGTGTTATTTCTTCATTTGACGTAGCGTTGCCGATTTTGTTTAGATATTGCATTTCGGAGTTAACGCTAGGCGTCAGAAAACGCTCAGCCCAACGCCTTTGTGTAGCTGTGGCAGTAGGCTTTCTTTAACCTTTTACTTTTTACAGCCAAACTTCAACATTTACTTTATCTTATCAATTTACTTTAACTGAAATTTACAAAAATGGCCTCCCTTATATTGTTTTCAATATTTTAAATTGGACCTCTAGCAGTGCAGCGGTGAAAAGTGTACCCTATTCGGAAATGCAGCAAACCAAAGCATCAGTGTCTTTTACTTCTAAACTATAATAAATATAAATATAAACAATTTGCGCAACTAAGTTCCAATTCGACACCTAACCGCGTTTGCGCATATTGCGCATTTCCATCAATTATAGTTTAGAAAGACACTGATGATGCTTGGTTTTTGTGCATTTCCGAATAGCCCCGTGCATTCAATTTCATCCATTAGTTTTTGGCTGATGTGCGTGCAAACATACCAACAGACAGACAGACAAAA